TTTGCCTTGGTTGGGGCTGGCGTGCCAGCAGAGGGCGTACTTTCCCTCGACCGCTTTCCTGATCCGAGACAAGGTGCTCCGGGCAAAAACCACCTAGCTGTAGCGGCTCCGATGGGGGTCATCTCAACAACCGCCTGCCTCTGCGTCGGTATCGGTGCCATCGTGTTGGTACGTGTCACGCCCTTGATGGGCGTCGTAGGGCTCCGTGGGGCTCCGTAGGGCTCTCGCTCCTTCTGATCCCCGTAGGGGTCCGTGGGACTCCCACCCCCCCTGCTTCGTAGGGCTCTGTCGGGCTCAGTGCGGCCCCAGGGCCCCGTAGGGCTCCGTAGGGCTCCGTAGGGCCCCCCACGGCTCCGTAGGGCTCAAGGGCCCCGTAGGGTTCCGTCGGGCCTTGTAGGGCTCCGAAGGGTTTCGTGGGTTTCCGTGGGGCGCCGCAGGGATCCGCCCAGCTCCACTGGGCCCCGTTGGGCGCCGCGGGGGTTCGCGCGTCTCCGGAAAGCTTCCGGGGGGGATCTCGCGAGCCCCGTCGGGCCGCGCATGGCTGCGAGAAAATCCCTGGGGGGCCCCGCCGACTCCCCGCAAACGACCCGAGAAAACGCAGCGAAGGCACAAGGCCTCCATATAACTTCAACGTTACTTTGCGTTTTGCCATAAGGCTTGGATGTTCCAGTACGCGACCCAGAGCCCGCAGTTCATGTCCGTGAGTCCTTTGACCAGCGTGGCAGTGCACGCTCCTACTGGGGACCCATCCGACGAACGCTGGGGCGGCGCTCATTTAGAGTGCCCCCGTTATCGGTACTGCTTCACGTTGGAGCACGACGAAAACGCAGATGACGTCCTGTGTTGCGACATCAAGGAAGTGCGTGTTCTGGAGGGTTTGAAGTACGTGGGCAGTTTCTTCGAGACCTTCCTCGAACCTGTGCCTCTCGAGGAATTCTTGGACTCCCTCCCACCACCTGTGAGAAACGTAGCTGGTGGTGATTCAAGCTCGGCTCACCAGCAGCACAGGGAAATCCTAGTTCGCGAGCGCCCTTGGCTTGCCAAAGTGTGGGCGAAGATGGATGGCCCCGCAGCTCCCCGTGCTGACCCGCCAGCCGGCGACGACATCGCCGACGGTGAAGAGGACGCCTTCAGCGATGGCGATATGGATGATGCAGAGGTGCATCATCTCTATGACGAATTGGAGCGGCGACGCCAGGAGTTGGTGGCCGCGGGCGGCGACCTCCCTCCGGGCGACGACTTCAAAGTCGGTTTGCTTGGAGGTGCTTGGACCGTGGCGAACAAGGGAGTAGTTGCTGACGCCGTGCAGGGACGCGCGGCCAATGCGCCCGCTGTCCAGTTCTGTGCTCGCCACGGAGTCTCGAAGACGTCGAGGTACGAGATCTCGACGTATATGGTGGCCTCCGGCCGCTTCCGTTACGGCGGCTGGCTCGTGGGCCAGTCGCTTCCACGGCGCGGGGTCTTTCGGGGGCCGTCTTGGGGCCCCAGGGGCAGCTTCGGGAGCTGAGCGAAGGCCCCGGGGGATCTGGCGAGGGTTCCGAGATAGCCCTCGTAGCGGGCGACGCGCGCGCGTCACCCGTTACGGCTCTCGCCCTCTATTTTTCTTCGTCTTTGGCTTGTCTCGGGGCCTCGTTGGGCACTTCGGGAACCGTCTCGGGGTTCCGCGGGCGATCTCAGGAACATTGAGAAGGCGCCGTGACGACTCAAACCCGCCATTTGAATTCACGAACACTAGGGCCCATGAGGCGCCAGGAGGGCCTCAAGAGAGGCGAGCCACCCGGCATTTTGATTATCGGTCAAAACGCCGGGTGCGGGGGCCCCTTGGAAGCCCCACTGCGGCTTTCTCGGGAAGTCTTAGGGCTCTATGAGACGTTCGTAGGTCGTCTTGGGGCATCCAAAGGGGCTCTTACAGGACCCCAGGAGGGGCCCAGCAACCCCGCGAAGGCTCCAAAAGGGCTCCAACAGGGGCCCAACGAGGCCCAAGGTCGGTCACGCGAGCCTTCCCTCTCGCGACGGATCGCGGGGCCCTTTTGCGGCCCCGGCCCAAGGGCATCTTGGGTATGCCCTGCCAAAGCGGATGCGAAAAGGGTGCGATGTTTGTTGGTTGGTGGATTCATTGGATAAGCTTCGCTTCGTTACCCAGGGAGATCAACTGAAGGTCCCGCTGGCGGAGGTCGCGTGCGTCCAGGACGGCTGGGGACGCGGCGCTGGCGCCTTTGGCGCAGCGGCGGACACTGAGCGCCACGCTTCCGCGCTGGCCCGCGCGTGGTGCCATCGGCTCCAGTTTTTTTTCGAGCTGGAGGGTTGTCGCGGGGGTGCGGGGTACGCTTTCACCCCTGGGGACCGACAGTCTTACATCGAGACGCCTGAGTTTCAGCGATGCGCCGCTGATTTGGCCAACCACGCCAAGGGGCGGGCGAGGGTGGACGCCATTCGGCGCGTGTTCGCCTGAGAACTGGAGACAGCAGCCGCGGGGTGGCATGAACAAAAATGTCCAGGGGTGGCCAAGGTGGCGTGGCGAACACGAAAATAGATGCATGACAAAACTGCGGCGCAAATTTGTCACCCATCATTGCTGAATGATTTTAGTTATGCGAATGTGTCATGCCATTTTCACACCGATTTCACACCACATTCACGCCGGTATTCATGCCACTATCCATGCCGCACGTCGCGCCGCCTATGATTGGGGGGGCTGTCGTTCCGACGGATCCACCTCTGGGGTTCAGGGGCGGTTCGCCTCGCAGCTGGAGGGGTCCGACGAGGGGGGGGGAGAGGAGGAGGAGGGGGCGGACCGAAGGAGCAGGAAGAAGGAGCAGGGAGTGAAGGAGGAAGATAAAAGGAAGGGCAGGAGCAGGAGGTGAAGAACGAGGAGAAAGGAGAGAAGGAGGAGGACGATACCAACCATACATACGAGGAAACGCTAGTCAGGCCAGGCGGAGGTGGCTAGATCAGACCAAAGAGATCGATTGGTGGTCACAACATGCAAGCCGACTTGACTGACCAGACCAGTCAGACCAATCATATTAGGTGGAGCAACAATGCCGGCCATAACCAGTTACATCAGCTGGACCAGTCAGCCAGTCCAACCAGACCAGCGAGATCAGCCAGACCAACTAGCCAACCAGACCAGACTAGCCAGACCAGATCATATCATCCAGACGAGCCAATCAACCAGACCAACCAGACCAGCCAGACCAGCCAGACCAGAGCAGCCAGACCGAGTTGCCCAGACCAGCCAGACCAGCCAGACCAGACCAGCCAGACAAGCCAGACCAGACCAGCCAACCAGACGAGCCAGATCAGCCAGACCAACGAGCCAACCAGACCAGACCAGCTAGACCAACCAGACCAGATCAACCAGACGAACCAGACGAGCCAATGAAGCACACAAGACCAGACCAGACCAACCAGACCAGCCAACCAGACAAACCAGACCAGCCAGACGAAGTGACCAACCAGACCAGCCGGACCAGACCAGCCAGACCAGACCAGCCAGACCAGACCAGCCAGACCAACCAGACCAGCCAGACCAGACCAGCCAGATCAGACCAGCCAGACCAGCCAGACCAGACCAGCCACACCAGACCAACCAGACCAGACCAGACCAGACCAGATCAGCCAGACCAGACAGACCAGACCAGCCACGCGTTGTTTTTTCCTCAGCGTTGCCGAGTTGCAAGCGAAAGGATGGCAGTAGTCAGGTCTGACTCGGTAGACCCATTCAATCTTCAAACACAAATGTGACGTCGAGACACTGAGATTCATCAAGTCTGAGATTTTTCTGGGATTTTTGGGGGGCCCTTGGGGGCCTGTGAAGGCCCTCGAAGGACTGCCGCAGGGCCCCAAGAAGGTCTGGCAGGGCCCCCAGAAGACCTCAAGATGGCTCCAAGAAGGGTCCAAGGAGGCCCCAAGAGGGCCCCAAAAATCCCAGAAAAATCCCAGACACTGTCTTCATCAAGTCTGAGATTTTTCTTGGATTTTTGGGGGGCCCTTGGGGGCCTGTGAAGGCCCTCGAAGGGCTCCCGCAGGGCCCCAAGAAGGTCCGGCGAGCGTTTTTGGGGCTCCAAGAGGCCTCCAAGAAGGCCCCAAGAGGGCCCCCAAAATCCAAGAAAAATCTCAGACATCGTCTTCATCAAGTCTGAAACTTTTCTGAGATTTTGGAGGGGCCCTTAGGGGCCTCGTAAGGCCCTCGAAGGGCTCCCGCAAGGCCCCAAGAAGGTTCGGCAGGGCCCCAAGAAGGCTCCAAGAAGGCCCCAAGAGGGCCCCAAAAATCACAGAAAAATCTCTGGGCTGCTTTGCATCATTTTTACTTTGAGTTTTTATCCCAGACCTGTCCGTATGAGAGGCTCTGGAGCAGCAGGTGCTGCAGTGCGGGAGTGGTGTTCGCGGTATACTTCGCAGACCCGTTTTGCCATGGCTTCGAAACGCAGGGCCTCCGACGGCCCGAGTGGGGCTCGGAAGCGAGTATACACGGAGGATCAGATTGCCCAGAAGGCCATTGCGGATAACTTCAAGGGCTGGGACCACGAGGCTTGCTACGTGAGGCTCCGCGGGGATGCACCACTGACCCTTTTCGATCGCATCAAGCAAGACAAAAAGGACAAGACGGTGACCATGGGGCAGCTTTATTATGACAGCCTCCGTCGGTTGTATCGTTCTGAGCAGGACCCGACGGTAGCTTTGAAGGCGCGGGACAAGTCAGAACAGATCTCCCCGGACCTCTTCAAAGCGTTCGTGGCGGCGAACGAACAGCGTCCCGATCGGTCATTGTTGGTAGCATATCTTACCAGTTGCGCCACTGCCCCGAACAATCGTGAGTTCGTGGGGGTTGCCAAAATTCTTTTTTCGTTGAAGGTCGGCTGTCAGAAACAGTACAATGTTGCCTTGGACATCTTGAAGTGGACCCTGGGCATAGAACGGCCCTGCCTACCCGACGCTGCCTTTGCTGCGCTGTCCCTTCTTGAGTGCGCGTGCTGCTGCTGCTGCTGCCAGGGCGATGAGGGGGCGGCATGTGCCCTGGCCAGTTTTTTTCGTCCGCATGGAAGCGCCCCGTTCCCCAGGGGGAACCGCATTTTTGTCGGCCCCCCAGGTGGATGGCCCGTTTCGAGGCGCACAAGAAGTGGACTTCGGAATGGGGGTCGGTTTCAGAAAAGGTGGACAGCGTCTTAGAGAAACTATGGAAGAGCTCAGCAAAAATGACACTGTGCCCGTTCGTGAAACTGCATGCGAAGATCCTTTCGCTCAAGACGGACCCGGCGGACATCCAGGCGGTCGCCGGGTGCGACTCCGAGAAGCTCAGCCAGGTGAAGGACTCGCTCTGCAGGCTCGTCACCCATGGCAACGTTGGCCTGCTGATGTTCGGCGCGGAAGTCGGCAAGAGCACCTCGCATGCCGTCCGGCTCGCGATCGAGAAGGTCATCCGCGAGTTCAACGTCCAGGGGAACGTCTTCAACTCCGAGACGGTGGCGGCTACTAAGGCCAAAGCGTTGGCTGCCGTGGGCGCGGTGGCCAACTTGAACCTGATGCCGCGGCATCGCCAGGCGGAGGGGCGCTATCGAGGTCAAGCGATGAAGGCCCCCGTGGCCTCCATCGAGGCGGAGGTCTCGTGGCGCATAAGCTTGGCGTGGAAGGGCCTCGGGGTCCAGCAGAACGTCTTGAACAAAGTGTGGTTCGAGGAACGTTGGCGGCCTTCCAGGGGCGTTTGAGGGGGCTGGTTGGCGCTCGCCCTTTCTTTCAGGGATTTGGCCCCACCCACTTTCCCGCCTCGTGATTGGTGAGCGCCTCCTGGATCTCCCGCGGACTTCCTTGGGCAGGACCTTGTCGTCCCAGAGGGTGCGAAGCAGGGTGGGGGCGCCACGGTGGACCCAGAGTTGGCGGATGCCCCCGACGTCGCGAGGGCCTTGATGAAGGACGTTGTCGAGGATTCGGGCGTCGACACTGGAGATGAGATCGTCCGGACAGTCTCCAACAACGCGGCCCGCCTCATCATGCAGGATCGGGAGGCGCAGGTGGAGATTTCCTTGGTTGACCTCCTGGGCGGATCCACGAGCGTGCTGCGCGTGAAGACCCACATTCTGCAGTGCATGCCTGATGCTACCGCGGTCGTGGAGAGAGAGGCCACCCTGCATCGACTCACGCAGTTGGCTCGCAAGGATGTGAACAAGTACGCCTCCATTACAGCGAGGGCCAAGCTGGAAACCGCCATCAAGATCATGGGTCGGATCGTGGATGGTGTGTGCCCCGATTTGGACGCTGTGAAGCAGTGCCCTGTCTTGAAGGACTTTTACGACCGCTTGCAGTTCTTCGTGCGCCACGTGCCGCCTGAAGGCGCCGCGGCTCCCTCGGCCCCCGCGGTCGGCGCGGCGGCGATCAGGGCGCAGCTCGCCGACGCCGCCCAGAAGCACGCTTCAGGCGTCGCCACCCGCGCAGACATTGAGGACCTCAAGGTTTTCGCCCATTTGATTCCTGAGGACATTTCCGCGCATGTAGCCGATGTCATCAAACGGGTCGAGGCGGCCGACCTTCCTTCGGCCGTGAAGGGCAAGAAGCCAGGCAAGAAGGCCCTGACATCGTCCCAAAGTGGCGCGGCGGCCAGCGCAGCTGCGAAGGCAGCAACTTGTTTCGATTAGGGTGTCCCTGCGCTCGCATGTCTAGGGCGGGGGGTCGCCCCAGCGGGCCGTCGGTCATCATCATCTGGAGCATTGGTCATGTCATCGCAAGGTCATCAATGGGTGTTCTTGGGTGGTTGGCGCCGCTTCCGACTGGAGTGTGGTTCGGGGCGCTGCGATAGAACCGCAGCGCGATGTTTAAATTCAGTGCCAGCGAGGGTAGGTGGCACGACCCATCATGCAGGTGGGCTTTCTCTGGACGAGTCAAGGGCCGCTTGGCGGCTCAAGCTGCTGGCAGATGCCCTAGGGGAGACTTGCGCGATTGCTTCCTTTTCGATTTCTTCGGGGTGCGAGCCTGAGCGAGGTGAGCGAAGACCCGCTCAGGATATGCTCGTGCGCTTGGCGGGGAGTCGGGCGCGATCGATGGGGCGCGTTTCCTAGAAAACTTCCAGGTATCGCCGCCTTCTCCCTCGCACTGCGCCTGCTCGCGATGTCGCCGTGGCTTTCTTATTCTGCAGGCGTGCTTCCAGTTCCCTCGCTTCTTGGTCGATCTCTGCCATCTTATTATTGTCTTGTCGTGCGTCCGCGCTGGCATGTCCAAACATTCACCGTGCGAGTTGTTCGATCATCGGGGGGGGGCAGCGAGAGTGGAGAGATGAGAGGGAGGGGGGGGTCATACATTGAACAAGTCGAGTATAGGGTTGGAAATTTACGAACAGCGGCCATCTGCGAAACTTGTTGTGCGCTTGTAGTGCTGTCGGGTGTATCAAAGGCCGTCTTGGGGTCCTCTCGGGACCTTTGGTGCCCTCTCGTGGCCCTCTCGTGGCCTTTGGAGCCCTCCGGTAGTTCCCAAAGGACGTCCAGACGGCTTCAAGGGGAACCGAGTACTTTTGACGAGCAGGGCCCTTTCTCGTGGCAGGTGGTCGGGTCCTCCCGAGGCTTCTGGAGACCCACCCAGGGCCCTCGAAGGTTGCTCGCGGCCCCTGGGAGCGGCCTCAGAAAGCTTCAAGAGGACTCCCAGGGTGGCCAAAAAGCTCCAAGACAGTCCGGAGACGCGCTTTCAACCGTGAGGGGGTGCCATTAACAAACACGTTTCTATAGCATCGCCCGCGCGGCCGTGCGAGCATTCAGGAGACGCCCGAAGATGGCCCCATTCGCCTCCGCGATAGCCCAGCATGGTCCAATATGGCAACATGATGGCCCAAGTAGGATCCAAAGGGCGTGCCAAGAACGTAGTCGCGAATCCCCAGGAAACCGAATTTGCTTCGAGAGGGTTGCTTGGAGGTTTTCGGGGCCCAACACAAGCTTTCGGCGGAGGCAAGCATCGCGCGAGCCATCCCCTGGTAGAGCATCCAAGACAGTTATTTCTGATGCTCCGCCTGGGAGCCTCGACGGGGGCGCCAGGGAGGCTCCAAGAGAGCGGCATTGGAAGTCCAACAAACCCTTCAGAGCTGGAAGGATCGCTCGAACAAGGTTCCAGGAAAGACCCGAACGCGTTCCAAGAGGGCCCCGAGGCAAACCCTGGGTGCCGCGTCGAGTGTGTAGGGCTCTGTTGTGCTCTGTAGGGCGACGTGGGGATCCCAAAAGGCTCCGCAGGCTCTCCCAGGGTTCCGCTGGTTTCCGCGATCCCCGTTGTATTCTCTAGGATTTGTGATTCTCGTAGGGCGCCGTAGGGCGCTGTGCGGTGCCGTGGGGCATCTCAGGGACCCAAGGGCAGCCGTCGGGTTCCGTTGGGCTCCTTTCTTTTCTCCTGATGGGGACCCTCAGTGCTGGGGGGCGGGGGGGTGGGGGTCGCGCGGCGCCCTCCAGAGCAGCTTGCGACGCTGCGCGTTCCTCGGCGGCCTTTCGAGCGGACAGTGGCACCGCAAGGCGTTGCAGAGGACGGCCGACGGGGTCGCTCTTTTCTCCTTTGCCGTTTCTTCGTTGCCCATGTCGTCCATCTTGGATCTCCTCGCCCGTATCGCTCTTCCGCCGTTCAGCCGGTCGTCCGCGCCCTCTTTCCATTTCCTGTTCTTCTGGGTCCCAAGCTTTCCCGCGCCCTCCCGCGCCCTCCCGCCCCCCCTCGTCCTTTCCTTTCCCGCCCTCTTGCCGCTGCCCCGTCGCAGTCCCCGTTCCCGCCTTCTTGCCAATGCCCCTGGTGCTTTCCACTTCTCCTTGGCGCCATGCCGCTCTCCCTCCCCCCCTGGCTCGCGCCCCCGCCCTCCTCCGTGGCAATTTTGGCTCGAGCCCATTATATTTGCGAGGTGCCTTTGTCTCGCCCGAGCGGGCGCATATATCCCCCAACAAGGCGGGGGAGGGGTCGTCTGGCGCGACTCGCGTTTCAGCTAGGTCCGAAGTCGAAGTAGAGCGAGGGCCTCGGTTGATCATAAGCTCGGGAGCGACTCGGGCCAGCGCAGTCAATGAGACCCGCGCAACCAGGCCGATCCAATCGCTGCAACATTTGGGGAGAGCGCCACCGCCGAACAACGACAACGCCCGCCGTCAACGACGGTGCTACACAACACAGCGCCGAGTGGCAAATCACCGCTCAACCAAATAGTGCCGTTCAATGCAGTGGACGCCTCGACATGATCATAAAAACCAGCAGGCCATACTACGCAACAGGATGGGCACACATACTGCGATGGGGCCAAACCGGGCTACACGCTCGAATTGAATTTGTTGGCAGACACGAGTGACGATACAGTGTCGTGACTCCAGCCGCTGAGGCGACTCCACAAAGCAACCGCCCTTCCATGCAACCGCCATGAAAGCGGTGGATGGCAACTGCAGCAGCATGGCAAGGCGAGGGCGCGAGCACAACGATGCAATCCACAACCGCACGATACACGTCAGGGGCAACCGTCGCAGCGGGGTACCTTGTTGAACTTCGCACGTGGGGCGCTGGTGGCCTTCGTCTAGAGCTGCCGGGTGCAAGGCGAAAGCGAAAAAACATGATTGCCGCAGCCTTGGTATTGCACAGAATTGCACAATGCTGGCCCGCAGGACCCCGTGATTTTCGCGAGGCGCAGTTGGGCTTGAGGCGCGGCCTCGTCCAGGCGTGGTCATCCTGTCAGGCCCCACATTAAATGCGCTGATTGAGGTGGCATTCCAAGTTGCCTGGGCGCGTTATTTGTTGTGCCAAGGACACCGCCTTGGCGATCTGGCTTCAGCTTGCATCCCGTAGCCGTCAGATTTCCTATTGCGGGCGCTTGAGCCATAACATCTCCTACTCGACATAGCCGTCGGGCCAGCCAGCGCCCCTCGAAATGGATTCGTAAGACGTTTTTTTCTTCACACGCCTCTTCTGCGGGTTCGTGGGGGACGAGATGTGTGGCTGCAACATCCCCTTGCGTTTCTAGAAGCTGGCTCGCGAGCTTCACCCGAGTTCTGCCAGCTGCTCAAGGCAACCTTGCAGAACAGCGGTGGGCGGATGAGCATGATATTATATCCAGATGAGATTGTGCCTGGCAACCCCCTAGCGGACGTCAACCTTCGTAAGTGCCAGGCGCTGTATTGGCCGATAAAAGAATTATGGTGGCCGTTGTTGTCGAACGAACAGATGTGGATGCCTGTATGTGCGATTCGGTCTTCTGTGTGTGCCAAGCTGCCAGGCGGTGTTTCTGCTGTTATGAAGCACGCCCTCCGCGTGTTCATGGGGGGGGGGGGCCAGGCAAGCCAGACATCAGGAACGGCGTCAGACTGAACCTCGGAGGCGAAGATGTCTTTGTCTATGGCACTCTTAGTATACTCATCCAGGATGAGCGAGGCCGTAAATATACCCTGATGGCAAAAGGTGCAACAGGCATTAAACCATACCTGATGTGCCAAAACGTTTGTCATGGACAAATCTAACCTTTTGCCAGACCCTACGGGGTTCCTGATACCATGTTCGAGCATCGACGTTGGCAGGATGAAGGTTCACACGGCATCAAGCTTCTTGGGCATTCAGGGGAAGTTGAACGAGGTTAAGGATAATGGTGGCCCCACGGAGTTGAAACGCCAAGAGGTTCTGTTGGGTTTTATTATTGAGGAGCATTCGCTTCCTCAAGATTTCGAGCTAAATATTCCGATACCAGATGTAATACAGTGGGATTGGATGCATTGTTATTGCGTGGGGGGGGGGAACGGTACAGCGCGAGCTCACGCAATATTTATACCGCTTGGAAAAGCATGGGTTGGGTTTGAATGCCCTCGACGCCTTCGTGAAGTGCTTTGTGTGGCCTAAGGGGTACGCAGACCCATACGTATGCACTGGTCATGGTTCGTTGAAGGGCAATGCGTCAAACGTCATATCTTTGGCCCCTGTGCTGGAACAATTCATCATTCAACGGGTGGTTCCTCGCAATGTCTGTATTTTGGAAACGGAAAGCTGCAAGTTGTTGTGCCGTGTGTTTTCCATTCTCGTGGTCGTGAATTCTGGGCTGTACACGGCCGAGTTCATTGGGCTGGCAATCGTGAAGCATATGGCAGCCCATCGGGCTGCTTATGGAACGGAGCTCTTCAAACCCAAAGACCATCGGGTACTGCACTTGGCGCAAATGTATCAGGCCCACAAGTGCTTGATCAGTTGCTTCCTAATGGAAAGGAAACACAGGGTTGCAAAACGAATGATGAACGACCGCCATAACACATCAAGTTTCGATCGCGGCATAATGCAAGAAATAACTTCCCAACATCTTTTTGACTTGGCTCGTTGCCGTTTGCTCAGAGAGGACATGCTGGCACCGACACAAGCTTCTACGCAATTGCGCGATGCCATCTGTGGAGTTTACAATGTGGACCCCTCTGCAGACATACTGACATCAAGGTCTGTTCTCGTCCGCTGCAGGGCCGTGGTAATCGGTGATGTGGTGTGCCTCTACCACGAGGGGCAGCACTGTTTCGGCCAAGTGGTGTTTCACGCAAAATTTTCTGACACTTTGTACACGTGCGTATCCCTTTGGAGGTGCACTTTTTTTGGCGAGTCAGAGGCTCGGTGCATCGTTCAGGCTGAGCCTTCTCTTGTGTTGACCAGTTGCATCATCGAGCCATGCATTTTC